GCAATAGTTCTCCAATGTCTTCAGCATTTGTATTTTTCCTGGCTTTTCTGGTCACTATTAATAAGAGACAAGGTCCATGTGCATTGCTAGAAATACAAGTCCTTTATAATATTTGTATTTATTTATTTATAAATATAAAATTCTTTATTACTTAAATTATTTCCCATTTCCCTGCCAAATTATCTTCAATTTAATGTTCACTTTCAAAATCCAATCCATACAAGTTAGTATTTGGCAGGGGCATTATGTGGGTTTTAAAATAAATGTGCAAAATAATTCTTTTGTTGTACAAATCCAAAAATAAGTGTCATCAATATTTTCTTTTCCTGTATGCACATTTTATGCTTTAGATTGTGAAATGTAATCTAATTTTCCTCTTCTTAATTTTTACTGGTTTCTGTTTCTTGCTTCAATGAAGAATGCAACAGATATGAATTCTGAGCCTTCTGAGTAGAAGTCATAAAAATCCTTGCAGTTTCTGCCTAGGTCTTTTACAATACTACCTTTCAGGCTATTCCCTCGAACCTGCAAGCTATGCTGTAGAAAGCCAAGGAGGTTATCCCATTCACAGCTCCGCTTGAGCTCTTAGCTCAGAGCCAGCATCAATGGTAGTTATGAGTGTGCCCATCTTGGATATCCAGTCAAATCTAATCCTAAAATGTCCGGTCTCCCAACTGACTGCAATGGCATAAGAAATCAAGTGAGAACTGTCATTAAATCATGAGAGTTAATGACATACAATTAATTTGTTAGTGATGTTTGAAGAGCTAGTTTTGTGACAATTGATAACCTATATATTTTCCAAAACTTTATAATCAAGTGAAGAGGAAAAGCATTCAGGTATTTTCTAATAATCTAATGTAGCAAATATAATGATAAAAATATATATAAGGGGCCGGGGATTTAGCTCAGTGGTTCTTTTGCCTGCCTCACAAACGCGAGGTCCTGAGTTAGATCCCTGGTACCAAAAAAAAGAAAAAAAGAGAAAGAAAGAAAGAAAGAAAGAAAGAAAGAAAGAAAGAAAGAAAGAAAGAAAGAAAGAAAAAGAAAATATATGTAAGACATTATGAAACATACATACTAAGAAGGGAAAACTTGAGAAACAATACTAGGAATCCAGTAAAGGCATTCTGGATGAGATGGTATTAAAAGTGAAACTCAGAAGCAGAATGAAAACTATCAAGACAAAAACAAAATTATCAGTGTTGTAGTAGAGTAGTGTTAGGGGATGCAAGTAGTACAAGTTTTTCTGGATTCAAATTATTAAGAGACAATGAGACTGGATTAGCAAAAGGGAACCATATCAGGAAGAATCCTGTACCAGTCATTTTAAGATGTCTACTTCATAATACAGACTATATAAGGAGCTACTGAAGGTCTCTGTCTGAGGTAACATTGCCAATTAATCTTTAAATCTATTACCTATAAATTGAGATTGAAAGTAGAAGTAAAAGAACCTGATGGTAAAGCAAGAGAAAGAAAGCATTGCAATAATTCAGATAACATAGCATGAGGCCTTGATCTAGGTATACATGGAGAAGTGAAATGGATTTAGAGATAACCTGGAGATTCACTTAACAGTATGCTGATGCTTTTGAATGCAGGGATGAAGATGAGGAAGAAATCAAGTGTTACGTTCATGTTTCTTAATCTGCAAAGGGAAAGGAATCATACCACAAGCTCATTTGAATTAGAATCCTATATGAAATTAAGTAGTTATATTTAACAGAACTTGGGTTTGTAAATGTCATCCATGAAGTAATTAAGGATAGCAGTTCATGCATTTATTCACTAAATACTATTGACTAAATAACTACCAGCTTCCAAGCACTGTTCTAGGTACTTGGATTTTGTCAGTACACCAAATAAAGACCCTTCATAGAACACATTCTAGTAAAGGAGACAAACATAAAATACATAGCATGTAAACCAGTAACAAACAAAGAATTATCAGGCTGCTAACTTAGATAAAGTAGTTAGGAGACTTAAGGGATCTAGGTGGAAATGGCTTATAAGCTAGTAAAGAAAGAAGTTAAATGTAAGAAACAGCAGAACAGCAGAGGGCAAAGAGAAAGTATTCTGATGGGTTAAGATCATTAGGAAATGAATCAACAACTTTATTGGAGATGAATTTGTAGCAAGTATGTTATTTGTTTTAGAAATTACATGTATAATAACATAATTTTTATCTTTAGGTAGCACCAGTTAAAATTTTGTAATTCTTTATAGAATTCAGTACAATTTTGTGCATATCATGTGTATAAAGGGATAGCTTTGATTAGACACAAAATATGAAATATTTTCCAATGCTTGAAATGAAATATGTAAGGTTTCTAAATCTGTGGTGTGAGTCACATTTTATAATTTGTTTTAAGTGAACTAAATTCATTCATTTTCAATGACAGGAAAAACAAATGGAGGTACATTTCTTTCTTATAAATGTAGAAGTCTTTTGAGTAGATAATACAAAACAGAAGATAATGAAAGCTTCAGCGCCTTTTTTCTTGTAAGGAGAAATGCTATCTAGATTGCTGGGCACAGATATACTGTGTAATGTGGCCTAGGACAGCATCAAATTAACTACTTGAAAATATGATGGCTTTATTACAAAACAAATAATACCTATATGGAATAGTCGGAAATAGTCTCATATTTTAGAAAAACTAAGCAATTTTATTGTTTAATTTTCAAGGAAAGATAAAGGAAATAATACAGTATTGGTGAATTTGTGTTCTTTAATTTAGAGTTTTTTCCAGTGGCATCTTTAATACACCTTAGACTTATCACTGACTTTGATTGTTCTCTACAAATGACTAAGTTTCTCTTACAGCAAGTATGATGTAAATATGCTAAGATCACCTGTTTTCATTTGAAACATGATTATCATGTACTGTGCAATTTATATCTGTAAATATCATCATCCTGTTCAATCACATTTTTTCTGGCAACATTTAACAGAGTTTGTCTTCTTATGAATTCCTTGTTACAAATGATATTCCAGTGATGTGAAATATAGAAAAAATGGAGAGGGAAAAATGTTCTCACATAGATGTCTTCTTCTACTATTATGAACAATTTAAGAAATAAAAATATTTTACATCCAAGAAAAGATGTTGTTATTATAAGAATATCTGTTGAACTTTAAAAAATAAAATTGATATGATTATGCTTTCATGTTACTTTTGTATATACATACTAAATACAACTCCCTATACTCAAACAAGTGTGTTCCAGTGCCTGAAAAGTGAGAGGTATAAATGAAAAAGCAATCAAGCAAGAAAGCAAGAAAGCAAGAAAGAAAGGAAGGAAGGAAGAAAAAGAAAGAAAGAAAGAGAAAAAGAAAGAAAGGAAGGAAGGAAGGAAGGGAAGAAAGAAAGAAAGAAAGAAAGAAAGAAAGAAAGAAAGAAAGAAAGAAAGAAAAAGAGAAGATACCTAGGGAAGAAAAGAAGTGTGTCAAAATACAAATAATTAAAATTGTGTTTATGAAACAAGAGATGCACTATTATGTCACTCAGCTACAATTCTACATTCATTTTCTAACCATGCAATCATGCATAAGATTTTAAAGTAGGTGCATAATAAAATTTTCAATAATTAATATTATGAATTGTTGAAAAATAAGCAGATTTTTCTCCCAGATGAAAAGTAAAAGAAAAGTTAGGAAACAAATGTAGAAAGAGAAGTTATACCAAAGAGTGTCAGCCACAACTCTGTTGTTTTACCTAACCTCAAAAGGAAACTTCTGTTTTCCATTTCTGCTAGAAAATAATGAGAATTTCTAAATGGGCTTATGATTTCTAGGGCTATCATTGAACTAATAGACCCTAAATAATTCTACATTTTTCCTATTATTCTGCAATCTTTTTATTATACATAATTTATTCCTTTGAAAGGAATTTTCAGGTTTAGTTCATTTTTCAGGTTTTATTTTTTTCATTTAGTTCATTTTCAGGTTTAGTTCATACATAATACATACATATTTATAATGTCAGGAGGAAAACAGATGCAATATATTATAAATCCTTGCAAATTACAACTTTAAAAAATATGTGAATCTTAATAGTAATATCTTTTTAAAATGTATTTTCAGTGATGGATTGGAGAAATTTTATACATTATGTGTCTGATATCCAAACAATTTCTGTTCTTTTTTTATTGAAAGTAAAAAGAAGTAATGTCTTTATCTCTGATTTGCATCATTTTAGAACAACAATCGAAGCTGGAACTCTGAAAGGTATAATTGTGTCAGATTGGTGCTCTGGGGTGGTTGCCAACTCTTCTCCAACTTGTCTTATTGAGAACACTCACATTTTAAACTTTTAAGAAATGAAGTTGAGTATAGTTGAATAATGCAGAATGAGTGAGAGAGTTGGTTTACCATTTAACCTTTCTTTGCTCTTATGAAGCAGTTATTCTGCCTTTTTTAAACTCTAGCAAACAATTGTGTTTAGAAGCTTAAAAACAAGCACTTTTCCCATCTGACTGGGCATCCATCACTGAATTTTTCCTCAGGCACAAGCACCAGTCAGAATGACAGGGAAACTATATTCCTGGGTATTGATGTGTGTATGGGGGTGGGGAGCTTTGAGTTGGGGGGTATTGATGGAATAAATTATTTATATTAAAAGATAAAACAAAATAAGTAAAGCCTCTTCATTTTATTCTGCACAGTGTTTCCCCCTGGACAAAAGACCTAAATAGATAAATACACAATATCTTAACCAAAACTTCTATTTTAATAAAGTATTCATAAAAGATTGATCTGTGGATGATCATACACTTCTATAATCATTAATAAAAAGTGTTATTTGGATAAGAAATACATTCTGGCAGTCTGCATTGTAAAGTTTGTTTAAAGCACTAAACAGAATATCAAGTCCTCTGTCAATGACAGCAGAAGGTTCCAGTACAACATTGTTTCATAATCCTGGATCTAGCTGACTCTACTTTTTTCTCCGCAGCTCAAGTTGCTAGCTAACGCTTAAATGGAGCACGAGCAAGAGTCAATCTTTGTTTGGTTAACAAATTTCCCAGCAAAATATCCCCTTAAACCCCCCAGAAGCTGTAATGATGTCATATCCGTTGTCCAGGTCTCCACACCTCTCTCAGCAGTTACTCCCTTTTTCTTTTTCTTGGGTCAAAACTTTTGAGGTGGGCTGGCTGTGTAGCAGCAGGGGAGAGGGTAGACTGTGGCAAGCAGGCTGGAGGCGCTTCAGCACCTCGGCCAGCGCCCACTGCAGCCCAATCCTCCCTCTTGGAGCTCCCGGACTCCCAGCTCTGAGAATGCCTGCGGAATGATCGCCCCCCAGAGCGGCTGCCTCTACTGCTGTTACTGCTACTGCTGCTGCCACCGCCTCTGCCTCCACTCTGCTCTGACTGGCAGGCAGAAAGTGCAACTGACAAGGGAAAGGTCTCTGCAGTGAGAACGGAGTGGCCACATAAAAGAGAGTACAGAGGGGACAAAAACCCAGATCAGAATGCAGGCGACGTCCAACCTTCTCAATCTCCTGCTGCTGTCTTTGCTGGCTGGATTAGACCCTTCCAAGGTACGGACAATATTTTGACTCTTGTTTGAAATAAATGTGGAATATATAACAAACAGACTAAAATCCAAATAAATATGCCAAAAACGGCGCGGGAGGCAGCTCTTTCAGCTACCTTTCGGTGCCTGGTGCATCCCCACTGCTCGGAAGATAACAAGGTGAACTACCGGAGGAATAGCTCCTCAAGGTAGAGTCCTTGTGAGGGGGGAGGGAACACAAGCGAATATAATGTGTATGGGCAGCGGGTGATGCGGCTCTCAGGGGAATTCAGCTTTTTCCATGTCAAACTGCTTAATGTTCTCTTCTGAAGTCGGACTGATAATGAGAAGGAGTTTGCGGTTGAAACAATGAAATCCATAAACATATATTAGGCAATGGTGAACCGTTTCTTTGTTGAAAGCAAGAAAGCGTTTTCCAGCTGATTCTGGTCAATAATACTCCCATCGCAGACGTGCTGCAGTTTGTGTTCAAAACATTTGGGATGCTGCTTGTAACACACAGGGCAGAGCGGCAGAGCTGGACTCTGCCATGGCTGAGAGGCGTTGCTGAAAGGGGCTTGTGTTTTCTTCTTTCCTTTTATTAAGAAAATTAGGGAACACTGAGGAAGTTCTAATTATAAGCATTAAGAAACAAGAAGTAAGAAAAGCCCTATCAAAGTAAGGAGAGTGATAGGAAAAATAAGTTGTCTCATAGCTTTTGAACTCTGAAAATTATCTAGTACTGGCAAAGTGAAAGCCAAGCTCCTGTGATGAAAAGGCAGGAAAATATCAGAAAATGTTGTCAGTGATGTATGAGAAAAGTCTTGGTGGTGAATTGTGGTTAATTTCAGAGCTTCAGCATTCTAGGAAAATCATAATTATCTAGAGTAAGAGATAAAGCATTTGGTAAGAAGAGATACAATTTATTTATTATTTTACTCATTTAACTGATCAACACAAATTCAATACTTGGAAAAGTGGTGTCCTTTTATTAAGGAAAACGTTTTAAACTGTTTTTGAACTATTGTAAAGTTATTTTAAAAGCTCTGCATTTTCTGTGTAGGTGTGGAGAGACTAAGTTTCTTTCATAATTGAATAAAAGTAAGATGTAATCAATACAATCTAATATGGTCATGATATATCTAGGCCTAACATAGTATATAGGCAACACTTAAAATGATGTCATATACACTCATAATTGTTTATCTACACTTTTCTTCTTTACAGAGATCTGATGAAAATTAAAACATTTTATTTTAAAGCTATGCTTGCAATGACATTTTCACTGTGACAGCTTCACACAGATTGTGAATCCAATTTTAATGATCTTTCTGGCATATATTAGAAACTAAGGGATAGTTTTAGGCATTTTACAGCTGCATAAATATATTGATTTTGTTTTAAATCTCAAAATTTTTTCTTTCTGCCTCTACACCTGTAGTGACACGTCACTGCCATTCTCCCTTGATATTGGCCAAAACTTTTGAACATATTTTATTATTTATGCCATTTGGAAAATTTTTTAAATACTTCTAAGAAGCAAAATTGATGAGTTAATATAGATAAATTTCACTTTTTTTATAATTTTTAAAAATTCAGAATCTTACAGCCTCATTAACAAATGCTTGTATGATTTGTCCTATATGTTTAATGCATAAATATTTTCATTGCTGGAATTTCATTCTTTCTGAAATCATATATATATATATATATATATACATATATATATATATTTGAATAAGGAGATTAAGTCCCCCCAAAGGCAGCCCATTTTAGTTACTATGACCTTATGTAGTTTTGAATAATTAATTTCTGCACATTCAATGGTATAAAACTTTATAATTTGATCCAAATGATCTGTGAATATTTTCTACAATTGAAAAGAGAAGTCCAGGGAAGGAAAGGAATACATTAATTTTTCAAACTGTCTTTCTCAGCTCCTAGACACCTCAGTACAGTATGCAAAGAACAAAAGGTGATATTTTCTTCTATATTATATTTGACATTATACAGAATATTAAAAGTTTGATAACAAGTAATTTTAATGTCAAGAGTTTTAAATATGTGGACAAAGTATTGCTTTATAAAAGATGAGTAGTGGATTCTTTGGCAGTTTTACATAATAATTTTTGGTTACAAACAATTTTGTAACCTCACCCCAAAAGTATAAACAGCAGCATTGTGTTCTCAAAATAATTGTCATTTAAGTAATAAACTAAATATTTCTTCAGCTTTTTATTATTACTCTTGTTCATAGTAATAATTTAAAGGATGACAGGTAATGAACATAAATTCTAAACACCTAATTTTATATATACTAATATGTTAGGACTATTATATGCCATCATCAAATTTCAAAAACACATTTAAAAAATATTACTCTACTTTTCACTTTAGTGTAAATATAAGTATAGTCACATATGGATGCAGTCAGACAAAATAGGAGAGCTCTTAAAAGTATTTTTAAGGTATAGGATTCCACATATATCAAATATTGAAATTCTAAACTTTACAGAATACATATTGTATTTAATTTACTAAAAGTAAAATAGTTTACTAAGAACAGTACCAGTTCAATTATATGGGAGGGCATATAATGTTTACATTTACTATTTTTTTGCATAATACAAGTTTACAGATCTTACATGACATTTTATAAGTGCTTAGTTATCGCCATCTGATGGTAAGCTATTTGAAAATCAGTTTTCTCCTATTTAAAAAATTCAAACATCTAAGTTTACAGAATGAACATTTCTTCAGCATCCACTTCTTTCTCTCACTTAACTTATCAAAATTTGGCAAGATTAATATTTTTCCAGGAAAGAAAGGCAATTCGCCACTAATTAATTCTTTGTGTTTTTACATAGGCAAGTTATTGATTTTTCTCTCAGAAAAAATACTTTAATTATGTTTTCTTAATTAAAGTCTAATTAACAAGTTTCCAGTTACTTTAAAAAATCTCATGTATATGTCACTTTGGCCATTTCAAGTAAAATCAATTAATTTCATTTGTAACAGAGGGTCTGAATTATAGGCAAAATGCTAAATCACTATTCGATAAGTAAAATTTTAAAAAACCTGAAATCTTGTAGTAATTCACTTATTGATCAGTTTAATAGAAAAGGATGGTTTCTGGGCAGGAAATTCCTGGAGATGGCTGCTAGATGGCATCTCTGTGCTTTTAAACAAAAGGCACTGAGTTCAGTCATGAACGTGATAGTAGGAGAGTGGACTGTTTTTGTTATTTGGGGTTTTTTTTTGTTTTACAAGAAAATTTTCAGCAGACCATTATTGAAACATTATAACAAAACAGAAATCCCCATGAATTTCTCTTCTCTGCAATGCTGAACTTCGAGGATAGGAAGATGTAAAATAACTGTGCAAGTTCTGAGCAGAACATGTACACTGAAGCCAGACACTTGAGCAATAGTTAAAAAGAGATGACATGGGCATATCCAAATATCATAGTAACTACTGGACTTTAAAGCAGTCATAGTTTTGTGATAAAAATGTCACAAAATGCCTTAACAGAGGAAGTGAACTTAGATTGAGGAAGAGGCATGTACTATCTTTTCTCCTAGGACTATATTAAACTTATTACCACAATACTTGTTCACAATACAGATATAAATTGTAGCAATGATTCAGCAATAATATCTAACATCAATCTATTTTTGTTAAAACAACCTAACCAATTAGAACTCTTGCCCTAAATAAGAAAATTGCTATAGAGTCATAGAAACATGATGAGAAGAACTAAAAGAATTTTTAAAGTTGTATTGTTTAATGTTTCATGATGTAATAGATCTTAAGTGTCTTCAGATTTTGGCATTATTAAAGAGAGTAATAAAAGACTTAAATTGATAGAGGTAGCTTTGTACATAAATTTTGTTAAAGTTCTTTTCCTTGCAATTGTTAAATGAAAGTGAGAAAAAGCAAAACAGCAAGAGAGAAAAATTGAGACTGCTAATGCTTTGCTTTTAAAACCACCTTTGAAATTTACCTTCTCCTGGATCTTCTGTATGCTAGAGACATGCTCTACACAACAAAGATTAACCAAATTAGAATAGAAAATGTGGATCAATGGCATTTGGCAAGGACCTGCGACTATGGAACAGGAAACCCAGGTAGAGTAAAAGCTGAAAAGATCAAGGCAGCTCATTTATGGTTCAATAGAGCAAGCAGCTTCCTGTTTTCATTTTATCTCACCTTCCTTAACCAAATTAATTTTTAAAAAATAAATAAAATATCCTCACACTTTCTTTAGGCAAGTTGAAAATGTTAACATGGTGCTGGCCCCCTTCATTTTTCTTGTAAGATTTTTATTCCCTGAATCTCTGCAACTGACCACTGTGAAGCCTAGTACTCTGTTGACAAAGGACTCAGCATTCAAGCCCCTCGTTTCAGTCCCCACTTCACTACTGATGATATAGATTGTTAGGTGGCATTAGAAATCTGTGATCTGAGGGCCTTTACCTGTAAAATGAGGACACTATTAAATTGTAGAATGACTGTTTAGTAGTATATAATCATTTATCAAAAGAAATATATATTTCATTGGTATACTTTGTAAGCTCATCAACCTTAAAAGAACAGTTTCTCTAGCGTGAGAAACCAAAAGTGTAAACAAGGACTAAAAGGTATAATAGATAATGTGAAATAGGAAGAAAAGGGGCAAAGGGGAAGGGGAAGTGGGAGGGGTGGGGTAAAGAAAGAAGGGATGGAATTAATGTGAGAAAAAGGAAAAATGGAAAAAAAGGCTTGGTAAATAGGGAGGGGTGGAGGGGTTGAAAGGAGGGCAGGGGAATGGGGGAAAAATAAGAACCAAGGTGGATTATGTAAAGGTGCAAATTTCCAATGATGAATGTCATTATATAGTATACCTTAAATTTACCAATAAAATTAATTTTAAAAATTAAAAAAAAAAGAACTGAGGATGGACCTTCAACACCATATCATAAAGTTTTAACTTCTGTATTTGGCATTCAGAGCCTTCATTTTCCAACTTCCTGCTACACCACCTTG